GATGGCACAGACGACACCAATGCAGTGGTGGGCAGTGGCACGGGCATGGCCAATGCCAATGCCGGTTCATGGTAATTCTAGTGTCCTCCCCACTCTTTTTTCTACCTCATGTGAGAAATAATGTCATTATCATGCATAAAAAGCACCTGAAAATTAATTAATAATATGAAGACAAAATATAACTTTTAGAATAAAAAGTATGTCTACTTTCTGAAGAATTCTACAACTTCTAATTAATTTTTCCACTTTCCTTTATGTTTGATTACGACCATTTTCAAGAAGTTTCTACACTTAAAAATGTTAATTTGCATTATACATTTTTAATTTTTGCTCATCTTTTGTATTAGAACATTATAAATATTGGTTTCATTTTGACACAATCGAATATGCAATAAAATTCACTGATAATTTTATAGTGAAAGGAACAATACTATTCATAGTAAACATTAAAGAAAAATAAAAGCCACATAAATTAAGAACACATATGTAATACATATAATTGAAAGAAAAATGATATTTAGAATTACTAAGAATCCAACAAACATCAAAGCTTCCAAAAAGATAATCTAAAAAAACCATCAATCTGCATTTTACAGATTAAAAAATGAACTACCCATTAGCCCATAACAATGTATGCAAAACCCAATTATTAATAGAAGAAGCACACATCAAGACTTCAGTGTTTTATTATTGCCATTTATCTAGTAAATATTAAGATACAACATCACTTAATCATTATCAAGAACACAGAGCAAGAATGCAGCACTGACCAGAATGTATATTAGTACAAGCACTACAGAAAACCTAAAACAAAATATGCACAATGTCCCAGAGACCCATTTCTGTTACATGTCCCAGAAATACTCAGAGACAAAGGGCAGGACTGCAAAAATGTCCCATCACTTCTTGACTGACATCTTTTACTCTTATTGTATTTATTTTTTATTTATAACATAATTTTATAATAATTTTGAGTCAAATGATTAATTTCAATGTATATGCATATGACTTAATTAAACCAAAAAATGTTATATTCAAATTCCTTTAAAAAATTTTTTTTTAGTTTTAGATGGACACAATACCTTTAAATTTATTATTCTTTATATGGTGCTTAGCATTGAACCCAGGGCTTCACACATGCAAGGCAGGTGTTCCACCACTGAGCTCCAGCTCCAGCCCCTGTATTAAAATTCTTTACTATATTCTTGAATATTGTTTACTAACTTGCACTTATTGTGCTACATACTTATTAATAAATTTTGATTTCCACTTTTACACACTTGAAACATGAAAACAAATTGTTATAAATATTTTGCCCCAGTTTAATGTAGATGGGTCTTTAAAAAATCATGAGGATAGGTATCAAAGCATTTTACTTACTAATCTGAATGCATTTGAGAGGAGGGGACCAGCCATTCTCTGTACATGTAGCTGTGTTTTGACCATTTGAAAGACTATGGCCAGGATAACAGTCAACTTTAACAGATTCATGTAGTGAATGTCTTCTTTCACGTGAGTAGTATCCATTTTCCACATAATTGAAAATGCATTGTCCTAAGGAGCATAAAGTGATAAAAAGTGAAAACATTAATTTGAACAAAATATTGGACTAAAAATTACCTTTATAATATATAGAGAATGCATAAGCATCCAAAAATGTGCAATTAAGAAATACACAAAGCTACTATACCAAATGTTTGCTAAAAAATAAAAATCAATAACATTGAATTCATCTTTAGTTTTGTAACTAAAACATGTATAAATGATACAGGTTTTCTTGTATCTTTGGTTTGCATGTGATTTTTATGAAGAGTTTCATATAAAAGAGAAAAACTAATTGGGTCTTTCTGTGCACACAATTCTTCCCTTGGCCCTAATTTGTCATGCAAGACTTAACTGTAAATACTTATGTACTTCTTTTTTCCCTCATTGAAAGATACATGTATCATTGTAAAGACATTTACTTACTGATGCATGGCACTTCTGGCAGCCACCCTTCTTTTGTGCAACGAATGTAACCCCAGTATGATTTTGAAGGAGGCAGAAAATTTTCATCACATTCATAGGCATATCGTTGTCCTATAGGTACAGGAAAGTATGGTCTATATCTTTCTTCATTGTACAGATGTCCATGTTTTATTTCTGGAAAATCACAAGGTTTCACTTGTGATAAAAAAAAATAGGATGAATAATATTTTATTTCATTGAGCAACATATCAGAAATAAACCATTTAAGTAATGAATTATGTCTTATTATTAACATAATTACAAGGTTTCCAGGACAAGAAAAGTCACAGAAATCAGATGATTATGCTCTGTGAGGTCTTTGCTAGTGAAGTCAAATTATATCTTTTCAGTCACCAGAGAAATCAACTAGAAATATCTGTTAATACCAAAATAAATAAGATTATAATAAACAATAGTTTTCTTCTAATTTCAGTTGGGAAGTGGGATGTTTTTAATGTGCTAAAATGTTTTTCAATGAGGTATAATACAATTATATTTTAGTAACTTATTCTTATGTATTAAATAATTTAACACAAATTTAAGTGCTATTATTTATTTTGTCAGGTTTATTTTTATTTTCTTGAAAAAGTACTCTTTCATGAGATTGTTTAGAGAAAACCTAGTCCTTTTACGACCGAAATAGTATTAATTTTTTCCATGTAATATGACTCTATTTCAAGAAATCTTGCATGATATGTTATAAAGAATCCCCCATCGCCTTCATGTATACATAAATACAATAAATATTCTACAACTTCTAATTAATTTTTCCACTTTCCTTTATGTTTGATTACAGACCATTTTCAAGAAGTTTCTACTCTTAAAAATGTTAATTTGCAATATAAATCTTGAATTTTTGCTCATCTTTTGTATTAGAACATCATAAATATTGGTTTCATTTTGACACAATTGAATTGAATTGAATTGAATGCAAGGAATTTTATTTTAAGCCCTATCCACCCATTTCCTCCCTTCTCTATTAAAATTTCTTTCTTCTACACATGCAAAAGGGAAATTTCCTTTGGGATGTTTATATATGAATATGACATGATTTGGTTAAATTCATGCCATTTATCTTCCTCTTTCTCTTCCTTCTTCCCTCTCATTCTCCAATAGCTACTACCACTGATCTTCCCTATATCTTTATGATATCTGATCCCCACCCACACTGCCTTCTTTCCCTAAATTTACTAAAACTTCCTTATATGAGAGAAAACTTTCAATCTTTGAGTTTCTAAGTCTGGTTTATTTCATTTAGCATGATTTTTCTCCATTTCCTTCCATTCATCAGCAAATGTCATGATTTCACTCTTATGGCTGAGTTAATTCTTTTGTATGTGTGTACCACATTTTTTAGTTCTTTATATATTCTGGATATTAGTCCCTTGTCAGAGGAGTAACTGACAAATATTTTCTCCCATTCCAGAGGCTCTCTCTTCAATTCTACTAATCATTTTCTTTTCTGGGCAGATTCTGTTTTAATTTAAGGGTATCCCACCTTCTGATTCTTAGTTTTATTTTGTGAGCTTTAGGGGTTACGTTTGGAAAGTCAGTGCCTGCACCAAGATGATGGAATGTTGATCTTATGTTTTCTTCTAATTTTGGCTCTGATATTTATTATTTCCAATCTTCTGCTGATTTTGTAATTAAGGCCTTGAAGTACTACATATGCTTATTTATTTGGGCTCTCTATATATTTTTAATGTAGATACTCAATGAAATAAATTTTACTCTGAGCACTGCTTTCATACTATCTCAGAGATTTAATATATCTTTGGTTTCATTTGTTTCTAAATATTTTTTTATTTCTTCCCTCAATTATTCTTTGATCCATTCTTTATTTAAAGGATATTGTTTAATTTCCACATGTTTGTGTGGTTTCTGTTATTTTTCTTGCTTTTGATTTCTAGTTTCATTTCAGTACGTTCTAATAGGATACATGGGATTATATCAATTTTCTTTTTGTATTTGCTTAGACTTACATTTTGACCTGGAACATGGTCTGTTTTGGAGAAGGTTCCATGAACTTCTGAGAAAAAGATAAATTGGGTTTGAATACATACAGTTTGGATATATCCTTATTTTTATTTTATGTTTTGATGACCTATTAGTGATAAGGATGTATTGAAATCTTCCAGTATTACTGTATTGGGATATATCTGGGATTTAATGTTAGTTGTGATAAACCTTTATTTTATTTATTTATATGAGGTGTTGAGAATCGAACTCAGTACCTCACACATGCCAGGCAAGTGTGCTACTGCTAGCTACAGCCATAGTGCTACTGCTAGCTATAGCCACAGCCTCTTAAGAAGAATTTTTAAATGTAAACTGATGATATTTGGGATATATATATTAATTATCATTATTTCTTGTTGGATTGTTTCCTTTCCTAGGATGCAATGGCTCTCTTTTTCTCTTCTGATTTACTCTTGCTTGAAATATGCTTTGTCAGATATGAAGAATGACTACTCCAGCTTTTTTTTGAGAGTCCATTTGCATGAAGAAATTTTTTTTCAATCCTTCTGCCTTCAGTCTGCAAGTGTCTTTACCTATGAAATGAGTCTCCTGCAAACAGAATTTGGTTGGATCTTGTTTTTGGATCCATTCATCTAGTCTATGTCTTTTAATGAGTGAGTTGAGACTATTTATTTTCAGTGTTACTATGGATATATTATTTGAATTTTGGATTATATATTTTGAATTCTTGCTCAACCTAAACGTCTTTTTTTTTTTTTTTTAAAAAAAACGTGAGAAAATGATTTCTTCTAAGTATACTTTCTTGGTCTACAGTTCATATCTCTTATCATTGACAAATGCTTCCTCACTTTTATGAAGCTTCCAGTGTTGAAATTAAAATGCTTTTTAGCATTTAGTCTTGTTCCTTTTATGTAACATTCACTTTTCCCCCTGTAATGCTTTTTTAAAGATTTTGAATATTCTATATTAACCCATGGGTTTTAGAAATTACATCATGATCTGTCCAAACTTGTGTTATTCAACAAGAACTGTGCCTTGGACATGCTTGAGTCTTTTGAGTTGCAAGAAGTAAGATTTTAAGATTAATCAATTAAATTTCCCACTTGTATATCAGAGATGTGAACCTGGTGGTTGCAGAACAAAAGTGTTTATTCATCTCCTTATGCTATTTCATGGAACATCAATAAAATAAATTAGTTCACTCTTTTCAAAATACACAAAAAGCAGAGAATTGACAGGTATAATTATTATGATAGGCCAGAGGCACTTGGCTATATTCTTCACACTCATGTGTGCACATCTAAACCTCATTAAAAGGGTATTCCTTGAAGCAAATTTAATATTCCACTAGGGACTGATCAGCAGAGATGGGTGGTTCTCACAAAAGCCTCATTCTACTATTTAGAGAATCCACCTGCTTATACTTTCACTAAATGTAGCTCATAGTCTCATTACCAGCTATAGTTGTTCTATCCTAGTGTTGAGTCAAACTGATCTTAAAATTGAATATTCACTAATTTTCATAACTGTTGCTAATCCATCTGTCCTGGGGAAGTTTATTTCTTTGACTCAAGCCCAGGATTTTATAGTTACCATTGCAGAAGTTTATTCTATTTGATTCAATTTGACATGTAGGATTTTCTTTGAATGATATGCCTAGTGTAGATTCACTAACATCATCCTTTGTGTCATTCAAGTTGTGAATTTATGCTACATTTTCCCTGAGCCACTGAATAATTTGATGTCACCAATGAGTAATGGAGTTGTTCTGAGAAGAAAGTTCTTTTGGTCGGTTATCAGATAAAATTATTTAATGAAATTGCAAAGAGATAAACCACCTAACTCATCAATTTCATTGTCTTATCCATAAGAACCTGTGGAAGGCAGGTTCAGATATATTTGAGCAAATCCATATTGTCAAAGTCAACTATAAAATCACTGAACATTGACCTTATAGTTCTTACGCACTTTGAAATTTGTTTCACAGTTATAAAAGCTTTCTCTGTTAGTGACTGGAATTTTGCCTAGAACTAACATTGAACTCATTGGCCAATCATTTGTGTCATCACATTTTTGTTTAAGTGTGATACACCTTTAAAATGTACTGCTAGACAGAAAGAAAAGGAATATGACTATGGAGATAAACTAAAACTTGAAGAGGGCCAAGAAAGCATTGCATAAATAAAATAGTCTTGACCAGAATGGAATTTTGCCACATGTAAGATTTGTAGAAAACTACATAAGTCCTCAGCACTCCTCTCTCACAATAGGGGAGCTTTATTTTTCTCCTTTTGGGGGCATGTTGGACTTAGTGTCTCATTTCTGAAGAATAGATGTGGTGGTAGCAAGAGTGTATGAGTAGATTCTAAGTGGTATTCAGGCCTCTACTCACTCAGATCAGTAGCTCTGGAGAAAGTTAGCTGTCATTCAGGTAACCTAAGAGAGGCCCATGTGGTCAGTAGCTGAGGCCTCCTGCCAAAATCTGTGAGTGAACCATGTGGGAAACTGATCCCGCAGAACAGTCTATTACTCCAATGTACTGACTGCACCACAAGAAGAAACTGACTCAGAACTACCCAGGGAAATCATTCCCCAATTCCTCACCCACAGACACTGTCAGACAACAAATGTTTGGTATTAAATATGTTTGGGGGGATATTTGTTTTAATGAAACAAATAACTAACATATTATCTGTTAGAAGGTAGTATTTTCACCCAATGTTTTATTCACGTATTGGAAGAATTTTATTAATTAGAGAAATACACTTATACACATACATATATTTTTTCAGTTGCAAGAAACTGTTTTTAGTTTACTTAGTGATTTTCTTAGTGATTTTCATACTAAGAAAAATAAAGAATGCTTTTAAAGGCTCACTTTAGGTACATATCATGTACATAAACATAGACAACTATTTGGTCTTGTCACTCTGTGTGTGTGTGTGTGTGTGTGTGTGTGTGTGTGTGTGTGTGTTTAGGAGAAAAAAATCAATTCAGAATTACAAAATAGGAAAAGATATAAATGAAACTTACAGCTACATCTTGGAGGAGGTATCCAGCCACTACTTGTACATTTTGCAGTATTTCCCCTGGTTGCAGGATAAAAACCACTTTTACATTCATATCTGATTTCATCCTCAGTTCTGTGCTTAATCCTTTCAGGTGAGTAAACACCATTTGGAATATAAGGAGGATTACACATTACTTCTGGGAAAAAAAATAGGATGTGTGAATAGTGTGGAAATCAGTACTCATTAAAATTAAGTATATCAAAGTAAGACTATAGGTGATATTTATTTGTCCGTAGAGGAGCATCAAATGACATTAAAATAAACATATCCTCACATATCACTATATATATATATATATATATATCCTCATGTATCATTCCTGTTTAACTTACTGTGGTTTTCACCAATATATTTGTTTCTCCTGAACTCCAAATCCCTCTTTGTCCAAAGCTATCATATACTTCATTATACTCCATGTCTGGCAATGACTTCATCATTTATAACTTCAAATATTTCTTCCACTTTCTTCTATTTCTTTGGGCACTGTTGCTCTCATAAGGATTGTTTACAAATATACATAGACTCTTCTTTCCACACAACTGGTAGAATATCACATCCCTTCTTTGAATTAAATGTGGCCATGTGACTTAGATAGTTCAATGTAATGAAAATTAAAACAGAAGGGATTTTTAAAAGACATTGTGTGAATTTTCATGTTCTCACTCCCACATCTGCAATAACTTAAGAAGAACATTGGAAAGATGATGCCTTTTCCACCAGATTCTTAGAACTAGTTTACTATGTTTCACTGCATTATCATTGCCACTGTTACAGGATTCTTCCACAGAGAGACAAGAAATGAGGGCATTCTACAGAAAGCAGAGTATATTAGTGTTGGCACTGATCCAGCAGATTTGTATCCAAAGGCTGAGGCCCCAAAGCAGGAGGTGTTGCCGTATATACATCTTGTTAGCTTCTCTTTATTTGCTATCTCTTTGTCTCCCATATAAGGTAATATACATTCTAATTGGGCGTTATATTTCTATACTATAGATTTGCAACAGTGTTACAATAGAGTTGTGGAATATGCATGGTGATTTTGATGGTGCCATGTTACCTTTCCTTTGTTCTGAGAAAGTCCCTATCATACCACTGCATTAACATATGTTCATGAGTATTCCATGTATTCTAATCTTGCACCAAGACAGTTTAGTAATGAAGAATGTCAAGTAATACCTGCACAATTAAAAAAAAAAGTTTCATATGTGAAACATTTAGTAGCACTTCACTTTTTGGCAAAAAAATGCATAAAATCTGCAATGATTTTTCAGTGAAATACTGTGCAGGGACCATTCTGAACTGTGTTAGAAGTGAGCACAAACCAGAAACAAAGTGTAGTTTGTTAAGATATTGATATACTGCAATCTATTTTTTGGAAAGCCTTTTTTTGTAAAGGGTCTCTTTTGGAACTACTTAGGTCTGGCAATGTAATATAAAAGTAATCATACCCAATACATAAACAAATTGACTTTGTTGTGCTCCAATACAACAGTTCTTTTTAGATGCTTTGCAAATATCTGAGGACAAGAATTACTACAATATAGCTATGTCATCTTGCTATTCTTTTTATGGTTATGATTTCTTAAACTCTTCAATCATCTATATTCTCTCTTCTAAGTCATGATAGTTGGAAGACATCCCTTTAAAAGAAGGTAGGCAAAACAGAACACAACATTCAGATATACTTCTTGTGGGGAAAAGCGCTCTGCCTTTCTGCATGACATCCTTCCATGAAGAAGCTGGGAGTTAGGATTTCTTTTTCAGCATCATCATCACTGTTGTTCCAAATTAGACCCATTGCTCATGAAAACCTCCACTTTTTGGATCCCTTTAATTCCATTTCCAATAGAGATTTACCTCATCTGATATTAATGTAATATACTCTTTAGAGCCAAATTCTAGGCTTTAGAAGAGCAATCTATGTATTTGAGAATTGCAGATTATTTAAATTGGAAAGCCTATGACAGTCCTGACTCTGCTCCTGGAATGTTTTATCACCATGAACTAGCTACTTAATAGTATATTTAAGCTTCTGGTTCTATTTATTTTTATCTTTAGAGAATATCATACAAATTAGTGTCAAAAGGACTTTGCACACTTAATTATTACAAATTTAATACTCTGTTTTGAGAAAAATAGATTGCTTACATAAAATTATTATATTAATTAAAATAATTGGGGTTGGGCTGTAGTTCAGTGAATGGTAGAATCCTTGCTTAGTATACAGAAGGTCCTGGGCCCAATCCCACATACCACAAAAATAAATAACAAATAAATAAATAAATAAATAACCAATAAAATTCTTTTGGTGTAGGGTACCAAGGAATGAACTCAAGGGCACTTGACCACTGAGCCACACTCCCAGCCCCCTTTTGTATTTTATTGAGATACAGGGTCTCACTGAGTTCCTTAGTACTTTGCTTTCACTGAGGCTGGCTTTGAATTTGTGATGCACCTGCCTCAGCCTCCTAAGCCCTGGGATTACAGACGTGCACCACCACAGCAGACCTGATAAAAATTTTTAACAAAAGAGACAGAAAATAAAAATAACCATACCTTCACATGAGGGAGTTGGACTCCATCCTGAACTAGTGCATGTAGCATTGCCTCTTTCACTGTTTTCAAAACCTTGATTGCATTTATATTGAAATATTTCATTCTCCTTATAAATTTTCTTAGGAGATACAGAATAGCCATTTCTAATTTCTGGCGATGTGCAGGAAATTTCTAAATGCAAGGGATTAAATTCTAAAATGTTTATTATGAACTAAAGGACTATGACCAAGTTGTGTTTATATAAAAATAGAAATTTTGTTTCCATTAGGTAAATCAGCCAACCAAACAAAAGTTCTCTTTTAGCTTGACTGTCTGTTTTATCTGTTATTCTTAATATCAGTTGTTATCATCTGTTGCTCTTCATTTTTGCCAGAAGCTAAATTTCTGAGTAAAATTATGTTTCAACTTTAGTTTAAGGGTAAATTAGTCCTTTGGCAGTGATTTATAGTAATACTCATCAAATGTATATGTGATATTGAATATAGATTTACTGTGATAAATATTTTTTCCAAGTGATCTGTAAAAATAAAACATTTTCTTGTTATTGATTAGAGTACTTATTCAACATAAAACTTTCTCAAGGAAATTTATTCAACTCATTTTTCATTACATCTTTGGAAGTAACTGAGATTCTGCTGTTGTGTCTACACTGTCTATACAGGTTTTCTTTTTCTTTTTTCGTTTTTAAAGAGAGAGTGATGGAGAGAGAGAGAGAGAGAGAGAGAGAGAGAGAGAGAGAGAATCTTTTAATATTTATTTTTTAGTTATTGGCGAACACAACATCATTGTTTGTATGTGGTGTTGAGGATCGAACCTGGGCCGCACGCATGCCAGGTGAGCGCACTACCGCTTGAGCCACATCCCCATCCCCTATCCAGGTTTTCTGTCAAAAGCAAAAACACTGTGGAACCAACCTAGATGCCCTTCAATAGACAAATGGATAAAAAAAAAAAATGTGGCAGTTATACACAATGGAGTATTACTCTGCATTAAAAAATGACAAAATCATAGAATTTGCAGGGAAATGGATGGCATTAGAACAGAATATGCTAAGTGAAGCTAGCCAATCCCTAAAAAACAAATGCCAAATGTCTTCTTTGATATAAGGAGAGTAACAGAAGAGCATGAGAAGAAGATTAACATTAAACAGGTGTGAGAGGTGGGAGGGAAAGGGAGAGAGAAGGGAAATTGCATGGAAATGGAAGGAGACCCTCAGGGTTATACAAAATTACATACAAGAGGAAGTGAGGGGAAAGGCGAAAAAAAAAACAAGGGGGAGAAATGAATTACAGTAGACGGGGTAGAGAGAGAAGATGGGAGGGGAGGGGATGGGGGATAGTAGAGGATAGGAAAGGCAGCAGAATACAACAGACACTAGTATAGCAATATGTAAAACAGTGGATGTGTAACCGATGTGATGCTGCAATCTGTATACGGGGTAAAAATGGGAGTTCATAGCCCACTTGAATCAAAGTGTGAAATATGATTTGTCAAGAACTATGTAATGTTTTGAACAACCAACAATAAAAATTTTAAAAAAAGCAAAAACACAACAAAACAAACACACAAACAATAACAACAGAAAACTGCCCCCATCATCTTTGACACCACCTCTCTCAAACACTTTTCCCTGAGACAGTGACAATGATAACTGTTTTCCCAAATCCTCTTCTTCTGTCTTCCTAATCTGTTTTTCTTGGGGCTAACTACGAAAACTTCCAAATGGTCACTTTATTCCTCCACTTGAAATCCTTCACCAGTTCCCAAATCAGTCTGCATTAAAGCTAAGTTCTTAAGAATGGTGCATTAGCTTCTCAATACCTTGTTCTGGCCTATCTTCAGTTCATCACTGATTATCACCTGACTGCATCCTATGTGAGGCCCCTGTGGACAGTGGACAAGGAACAATAGGACTTCACACTTATTGAAGCCTCACTGCCTTTCTATGTTCCTCTTCTGACCTTCCTGGGACTGGCATGCTTTTGCCTTCTTCATGGTCACCTAAAAACAGCCCTCTCTTCCTGTAAGACTTTCCTTAAGCATCTGCAATTCCAGGAAGGTTCTGCTAGTCATTACATCTAGCTGTGATCATAGAAATCCCATGTATGAACCTCTAAAGTATTTAACTTAACATTATTATCACAGTATTCTCTTAGAATACTTAAGAAATTATTTATTTATTTACTTACTGTAAGTTAGAATAGATAAAAAATGTGAATAAATCAGAGGTTTTAGATAATAAATATGACAGAAACTTCTTCCCAACAAGAATAGGTTAAATGAAGTATGGTACCATTAAACTAATTGGCCATAATGTTTAACTTAAAAAACAAAATCATTGATGAATCAAGATATACAAATCAGCTGTAGTATGACAAAATAAATTGAAGAAATCATGGCTTACAATTGACTTAGAGATTTTTCTAAAATAAAATTATTTATTTGGTGGATTCAATTATGTTCAGCAGTTCATAATTAACTTTCAGCACAAATAAGAAAGAGAATCATTTCCTAGAAATAAGTTATCAAAGATGAGTTATTCAAAAATATAATGCCATCATGATGCATCAGTGGAAACAAATAATAAATATTTGGCATCCAGGATTAAAAATAGACTTTTCTGGAGATCAGCACAGAAAGGCTGAGCATTCTCTTTTAACCTGTAACAGCCAGGAGTGGTGTTACACGCTATAATCCCAGCAGCATAGGCTGAGGCAGAATTTCAAGTTCAAAGCCAGCCTCAAGAATAGCAAGACATTAAGCAACTCCATGACACTAAGCAATTCAAACCCTGTGTCTAAATAAGTACAAAAAAAGGGCTAGGGATATGGCTCCATGGTTGAGTGCCTCTGAGTTCAATCCCTGGTGCCCACCACCCTGAAAAAAGAGCCAACAACAATATGTTTATGGTTAGAGTACGGATGTTGATGTCAGATAATAACCTAGGTTTAAATCTAGACTCTCTGTGCTATGGTAATCTAGGCGGCATGATCTGATTTTTGTATGGTTTACATGTGAAGTAACACCAAAAAGCTCATGTGTGAGGAGAGTCAGTCTCAATCTCTCTCTCTCTCTCTCTCTCTCTCTCTCTCTCTCTCTCATTCCTGATCATCATGTCCTGAGCCACTTTCCATCACTTCATTATTTCCCCATCATGTCCCTTGAGCCCCAGGGAATGGAGCTGGCTATCCATGGACTGAGACCTCTGAAACTGAGAGACCTCAAATAAACTTTTCCTCCTCAAATTGTTCTTGTTAGTTTTTTGATCAAGCAGCCAAGAAGCTGACTAAAACAATTTTGCACCAAAATTTCTTCAGTTATAGAGATGATACTAGTACATAAATCATAAAACTGTTTTGTAGGTAGAAAATAGATTACTTATATAGAAAACTAAGATCAACTTCAGGGATATTGTACATGCTTAATAAACATTAGCATTTTAAAAAATTTTTATATTCATTATTGTGTACAATGTTTTCAAATATATATTTTCATAAGAAAAACTAAGAACAATCAAGCAAGCAGTTAAGTACATCTTACCCACACATCTTGGTTTTTCATTACTCCAATGACCATTTACTAAACAAAATATTTCTTTGTGTCCTTCATGTTTGAAGCCTGAATTACACTCAAACTGCACGACTTGTCCAAAATAATATTCCTCATCTGGTTCTATCAAACTACTGATAATTCTCCCGTTCTCTGGTTCTGTCACTGGCAAACATGTAACAACTGAAAAACAAAAATAATTTTTTCTAGTAGAATTTGAAAACTTTATAATAAAATTGTGTGTGCATGTGTGTATGTGTGTGTGTGTATGTGTGTGTGTAAAATCATCAGCAATATAAAATAAAGGAAATTACTTAAATATTTTTAGAAGCATTTGATACATGTTTGCAAAAGATAAAAGCTACGTAACATTAAAATTACTGTTTATCTCTGATTCTTTTCTGTGGAAGTAAACAAACAACTACTACTTTGAATGGTAGTTTGCATTTTTATGGTAACAAGTAGCTCAAATTATCAAGAAATATATGTTTAGAATGACTAAATGCAAAATTTCCATTTATGCCCCAAATAATATAAACCAGCCTTCTACAAGATATAAAAGTAAACTTCATAATATTTATTTCAATAAAAAATTGTTCTTAAATTTCCTTCCTCTTCCACCTCAGTGTTCAAAATAACTTGAGTACTTATTTTGATTTTACTTTATATTTTCAAATATCCAAGGTTATGGAAGTCAAACCTTTTTACTGTAGAAGGACCCTGGATTCTTGTTATAATGAAAATTCTAGGAGTGCTTCTCTCTCACCCCAAAGATACTGATTCAATAGGCCTTTTTTTTTTTTTTTTTAGTAACCCAAATCTGTTTTAACAAGGATCCCAAGGGATATTCTCTCTCTCTCTCTCTCTCTCTCTCTCTCTCTCTCTCTCTCTCTCTCTCTCTGTCTCTTATTTATCTATTTATTTATTTTTGTGGTACTGGAAATAAAACCCAGGTCCTCATGCATGGCTAATAAACACACTACCACTGAGCTATAACCTCAACTCCTATATTTGATATATCAAAACACAAAATATGTAGTAATAAAATGACTTGTCAGGAGTGTTTGGTACATATCTGTAATCCCAATGACATGGTAGGCTGAGGCAGTAGGATCACAAATTCAAAGCCAGCCTCAGAAACTTAGTGAGGCCCTAAGCAACTTTGCAAGACCTTGTCTCTTAATAAAATCCCCAAAAGACGGAACTGTGGCTCAGTGATTGAGCACCCCTGAGTTCATTCCCTGGTACCAAAAATAAATTTAAAAATAAAAAATAAGAGAAAATGACTAGATACATTGCTGCACTGGACAAGCAGAATGCAGAAAGAACAACTTTTTCAGATTTTTAAAAAGTTTCTTAAAGCCACCAACCTGTAGGATAATAAAACTAGATATCCACATTGAATATCCAGTTAAGTGGTTGGTATTCAGCAAGGGAAGGAACTGCACTGCATTATAAACCAAAAAAAATAATTAAAATAAAAAATATTTAATTAAAAACTTAAGGATGTTTCGATGTCAAACGTTTTGAAAAAGCTTAAATAGTTTAGCTATCTTGAGAGATTGTACATAAATTTTATATTACCTTTACATATAGGAATGTCATTTGTCCATCCTTCTGCTTCACATTCACGGAAATTATTCTCACTTAACATTCGATACCTGAAAACACAAAAATAACAGACTGGCAAGAGATTACGTATTTGCATGCAGTTTTTAGCTTAATGCTATTCTGAATGTCTCTCATAAACTTCTTTTTATGAAAAATTAGCAACTTATACGTTTCCTTCCTTCTTTTTCTCTTCCTTTACCTTCCCTACTATCCTTTCTCCCTTCCTACCATCATTTGTTCTTTCCTTCCTTTCTTCCTTCCTTCCTGTTTAAATGTCTTTCTCTCCCCCTCTCTTTTTTTTCTTTGAAAGAACTGCAGACTCACTAAATAATTTTCATGGGCCTTTGTTTTCTTCATTTGCAAATAAGGATTGTACTGCTCATTATACAAGTAAAATAAATGTTCTCCCTCAAAAAAAAAAAAAGGAAAATGCTTTTATTTGTGACTAATTCTGTAAAGAAAGAAAACATTTTCATAAACCAAGTTTTAGTCACAGAGCCAAGCATTTATTCTATGTATCATTCATGTAAAGGAAACAAAATAATTGACTATTAAGATTATCCTGTAACTTCTCTACTAGCTAGAATGTACCCTTTTAACAGAGAAAGCAGATTTTCTGGTTATTTTTTTTCCACCTGCACCAGAGATCCATTTGTTTCCCAAAGATGTTTCAGATATTCTGCAACATTCTGCAAAAGCCTCCCATGGTCCAAATATTTGGAGGGAGGAGGGGAGGAAAAAGAAAGAAGTTGCCTATTTGATAGTGATTGGCAATAAACAGTAGCTCACAACACTCAAACCCAAAGAAGCAGAATAATAATTTAAAAAAATTAAGGTTTTTTGAAATTTCTCAAAAATTTTATAATTCCTGTAGGATTATAAAACTGGATATCTTCATTGAATATCCAGTTAAATGGTTAGTATTCAGGAAGGGAAATAACTACAGACAAAAGATCAAAAAGGGTTAGTTGACAGAAACCAAGGGGTAAAAAAATCTACTTCACTGGGCTGGGGCTATATAGCTCAGTGGCAAAGTGCTTGCCTTGCACTTGTGAGGCACTGGGTTCGATCCTCAGCACCACATAAAAATAAACAAATAAAATAAAGGCATGCTGTCCATCTACAAATCCAAAAAAAAATTTTTTTTAAATCTACTTCACCATCTATAACCGGGTCAAAACAATTATATCCCCTTGAAAATAAATTTAAGAGTTAAATTTATTTTAATAAAATAATTTTAAAATAACATAAATTACTTCTGTTTCCTGGATGTTCTGAACACTTAATTTCACTGATAAATATCAGTGATTTCACTGACAAAGTTCTGTTGGAGAATAAGAGAAGAGCAGGAACTCTCACAGTGAGGCTATAGCAGAGTTAACCCTAGTGGTTTAGTATAAAATTACAGTGATCTGATCATGGCTTTCTAATATACAGGGTGAGGTAAAGAGAGCCAGAGTCAGAGGAAAGTCTGTAGCTAATTTCTTCAACAAGTTGTAAATATGAATTGTTACAATTGAGGAAATCAAGTAAAAGAAATTTATGGATTTTGATTCCTTTCCAAGTCATTGTTGGAATCTAAAGGGAAGACTTTTCTAGAAATAAAGGGATATTTCAGAGGTAGAGCAAATCGAAAAGTTCAGGCCCAGATTGGCTTAACCTACTTGGTTACATATGAAGACCACAGTAGTAATGACTGAGAGTTGAATTGAAAGTGTGTTTGAAAAACTTCCTCTGAAGAGGTCAAACTATTAAGAACTGATACTTATTGGTCATTTGAAATATTCCAGGATCTCTTTTAAGGGCTTCAATATGGGTCTTATTTCTTTCTTTCACTAATCCCATGATGCACATGATATGTGTTCACTTTAAAAAGAGAGCAAAATACAAATAAAGACCTATTTATACACACAGATACTGAGAGTTGAAGGTTTGGAAAGTGGGTTTAGTGTGAAGCCTGACCTTTAAACTAGTATATTTTCTTGCTTCCAAATCAAGAAATGTATGAGGGGAGAATAATGATTTGATTTATAATCTCTTGATTCTTCTTGTTTAGTATAAAATTACAGTGATCTGATCATGGCTTTCTAATGTACAAAATTTTCTGCAAAATAAGTTTTTGACCTAGAGGAATAATAGAGAAGAATAAATACTAAGGAGGTATCATGATGAGATCAGTCAGGAACCCTGACTGGGTGGTTAGAAGGCATAAAATCAATGATTCTGAAAGAGTAGCATTTTTGATATGAATGATAAGAAGAATTTGTATAACATGGAAATTTAAATAATAGCAATTATAAGTAAAACTTACAACCAAAGACTTGCTTTTTTCTAAATTTTATAAATTTATAATTTTATTATATGTCCAATTATCTCCAATATAAATAACCCCAAATACCCTGCAAATAGTACAATGTAGAAAAGATGCCTTGGGTGAACACTAACTTACATGCGAACTGTTTTTCCATTTACTTATAATAATAATATATCAAAGCAATTAAGCTTGAATTTCTTAATGTTAAGGAGACAGTATGATATCACATATAATAATTTATATTGTACCTTAATTTTCAAGTTATTTGTGTATATAAATAGTATAGTTCCTCTTTAGTATTTGAGTTATAAACCTTTTTAATAATGACTACATACCCCTCATCACATTTATAAACAACTTTTGCACCATATTCAAATTTATTTCCAACTTCAAGATGAAAAGAACCAAATGGAGTATCCCCAGGATGTCCACAGGGCTTCTCTAAAGAAGAAAAAAAAAATATATATATATATGTATTAGTATGTTATACAGGGAACACATTTTATGTAGGAGTTGATGGACAAAGATATTTGGCATTTAATTAGAGGATAATTCTGAATATAAGGAAAATTGAAAATAGCAAAGCTATTACTTTATAATTGAATGTATTTTGAATTTTGTTGGATTACTGTCCTCTTTTAAAAATAATCATGTATTGCTTTGTATTAAAATGATAAGAATGATATAATTCAACCAGTATTGTTACAATATCAAGTATTAAGCATTTTCACAACTAAAAGATTTCATAAGTTTCACCAAAAAAGTGAAGTACTTGGGGCTGGGGTAGTGGCTCAGTGGTAGAGTGCTCACCTAGCATGCATGAGGCACTTGGTTCAATCCTCAGCACCACATGAATGTTAAATAAAAATATTGTGTCCACCTAAAACTTAAGAATAAATATTGTTTAAAAAAGCGAAGTACTTACTCTGACATATCCTGGCTGGATTAAGAGCCACCCATTCTCCATTTCTGCATGCCCTTTTGATGGTGCCAAGGGTCCTATAGCCAGGGCGGCATTTGTAGGTAGCCTGCGTACCCTCTGTATAAGGCTGGTCAGGCCAGGAACCTAACAGAATTTCTGTATCTCCTATTGGAGGAGGTCCCTGGCAATCTGCAAATAACAAAAGCAAACATATGGTGTGTTGGGGGTAGCTTTGCTTTTAAAAATACCTATATGGTTACTGATTCATCCCTTGTGGGAATGTGTGTCATGGGTTTGTTGTGATGTATCCCCAAAAGTTCACTTATAAGATAATGCAAGAAAGTTTAGAAGAGAAATGAATGGGTTATGATAGCTTTAACCCAATCAGTGAATTTATCTGTTGATAGGGGGATGGGGATTAACTGAGTGGTAGATAAAGGTGAGTAGGGTGTGGCTGGAGGAGATGTGTCATTAGAGTATATATTTTGTACCTGGCCAGTGGAGTCTCTCTCTCTGCCTTCTGATCATCATATGAGCAGCTTCCCTCTGCCACACTCTTTCCCCCTGATGTTTCATCTCACCTTGAGCTCTGAGGAATGGAGCTGCCTATCTATGAACTGAGACTTCTGAAACTGTGAACTCTCAGATAAACTTTTCCTCCTCTACAATTGTTCTGGTCAGATCTTTTAATCACAGCAACAGAAAGCTAACTAGAACAGTGTGCATGTAAAACAGTATATGTGTGTGTGTGTGTGTGTGTGTGTGTGTGTGTGTGTGTGTGTGTTTAAAAGTAAATTGTGGGATTGAGAGAATTAAATGAAATAAATCCAAGTGAAAAAGCCCTATTTCATGCAAACATATGGTCTTTGGCTATTTCTTACCTTGTTTTGACTGCCAGCTCTGGATATAGATTGATAATCAGAATTTGAATAAATAGAGGAATGGTAATGAAGAAAGGAAGAACCAGATGAACTTTGAGAGATTATGTCTAGCATAAAATTTTCTGAAACTTGTTTAGAATCAGAGTTCCCTGGTGAAGCTTTGGACTGAAATTTCCCATATTCTCAGACAAAAAGTTCCAACAGGAAAAGTGTCCTGCTTTAAGTAAACAGTATCTTTATTAACATATTTGCTATATTTGAAAATCACTCAGGATCAAATTTTCAAACAGGAGTCAATGCACCAAAGAAGCAGTCTTTTGGGATATTTATCAGTCTTTTGGGATAGAGGAGCAAGATTCTAACCATGTTCTCAATTGAAAATATATGAGCATACATACACACACACACACACACACACACACACACACTCCTCTCTTTGCATCAAAAGAAAGAAAACACTCCTGTTGGTGGGAGTAATTATATAAACTTAAGTCATAACATTCCATCTCTTCAAATGAAAATTAAAGCATACATGAAAGGAGAAAAAGTATGTCCAGGAAGAGAAAATAAAGTTAGTAAATAGCAGACACTTAGCTCCTGAAGCTACAATGCTATCAATATCTTTAGAATAACTCTTTTAAGTATGTATATAAAGAAGATGTAAATGAGTAAAAATAAAAAGATACCCAAAACAAAATGACTCTAAAAATCATGTGTTATTCTGAAACTACAGAAAAATATGTGAAATAATGTCTTATGAGTCATATGGACACAGAGGGAAATATATTAAACTTGAAGAAAATCTAATGTAGAAATGCCACAAGTGAAATACAGAAAGGCTAAAGTGCATAAACAAGAACAAATCAAACAGAGTAAAAAAAATGTGTCATGCAGTTAAGTGACACAACATATGAATAACTGGAGTTTCAAAGGAGGGATAACTGACAGAAGTTAATAACTGAAAAATTAATAACTCAAAGGTACCTAAAATTGATTAGAGAAATCAAAACACAAATATAAATCTTGGCAAACTCCTTGAGTATATACACCAAGGAAACCTATATTCAGGCTCTGATAAAACACACACACCAAAAAACAAAAGCAAAATACCTTAAGCACATACAGAAAAAAAAATTATTTTGATAACACTAAAATAACAACTGAGTCTATAATAGTAAATGTTGAAGCATGAAATCGTTGTCTTACATTTCTAAAGTTAGGTGCTTAAAATTTCATTTCTAAAATTAGTTAGGTGCTTAAAATTATATGTTAACTGAGAATTCGTAAAGAAAAACTTATTTTAGGCTCACCAACTCAGAGGTTTAGTCCTTAAAACTATAAACTCAGAATAAATTCTTTGTTTGTTAAGTAACTGTTGTCAGGTACTTTGGTCACAGAGTTGAAAAGCTGACTAACATACAAATTGATACTGAAAAGTAGGGTTGTTGCTGTGAGTAATCTGGCCATGTAGTTCAGAAGCATTTTGAACTGGTTTGTGGCAGGAGTTTGATAAGTTTGGAGATGCAGGCTGGAGAAAACTTAGAATGTTAAAAGCAAAGCTTATTAGGTATTCTGATGGGAGCTGAGAAGACCAGAATGTTGATAACAATATGAACAGTAAAAAGTCTATGCTCATGAGGTTGCAGATGGTAATGAGGACTCTTAGGAAGTGGATTAGAGACAAGTCACATTAGATACAGTCACATGACAGCAAAGAACTTGTCTGCAATTTGCCCATGACCTGAAACTTTGAGTCTCAATCTATGGTTGATGGACTAATTGATGTGGGGGAGGAAATTTCAAGGCAGCAAAAATTCAGAAAGTTGCATGAGTATTGCTGGTGGTTCTTAATCCAAGTTTACTAAGATAATGAGAAGCAAAAAAAAAAATTAAAAAAAAACAAGAAAGATTCAAAAAGCTTTTCAGTTTTGCCAAAAAAAGTAAAAGTAAAATTGGGGCCAAGAAGATGTGGTTGCTGAAGATATTACCACCACTAAAGAGAAGCTAAGTATTTTGTACAGAGATACAAGGAAAGATTCTTTGAGGGCATCTTAGAAAACTACACCCATAGAAGTCTTAAGAGTATAAAATAAAAATTCATTTGAAAAGAGATCATAGGAGCACCCTGTCTCCATAAGAGGAATCTATGAAGTTGCTTCCCCAGGATTCCTTATATAATGTTCAGTTGTCTAGATTCAAGGGCCCCTGCAACCATAGTCAAGGAGCCCAGCTATTCCTTGAACTGGCAGCAAAAGTTGGCATCATTTATGTGGTGCCACTGTTCAAGAATGTAGGATTTTGGAGTTGGGGATCATGGAGGCCCCCACTGAGGTTTCAAAGGAAGGCCTGGGAGGCCAGGAAAAGTGCAGGAGAGTCAGAATCCTTTCAGGTAACCCCTGAGACAGAAATGCATTAAAATGTGAGAATGAAGCTGCAGCTTCATTCTCTTCAGGAATTAAGAGATTCTAGTAACATGGAACATCTGCCAAGGAAAGCTGTAGGAAGCAATGGGCAGAGCCATCCAAGAGAGAAGCCATGTTGGTTGCAGCCCACAAGGCCAAAGGTGTGGGGCACCAAAGCAAAGGGATTCACATCTTACCACAATCTATGTAAGAGAATACACATTCTTTTAAATCTTCTTTAACTAAACACTATATGTGACACTCTGTCAGTTGTTTAACTCACTATTATTTTTGTATCATTAACCTACTATCATAATTGCTTATTTTATCAATATTTTCATTTTTTCTTTTATTTTTTGAAAAATTGATAGATTAAAACCAAAATTACACCTAATAACAGTTTACTATGTGGTATATCCCTGTTTGTATAGTCTGTGTAATGTTTAAGTCAAGCTAAACATCTATCTTCTCAATGATCTATCATTTCTTCATGGTAAAAACATCTTTTTAATTGATACTTATTTGCACATATTTATAGGGTCTTTGTGATGTTTTAATACATGTGTACTTTGCACAGTGTCCAAATCATGGCAAATATCTTTCTCCTCAAACAATTATTTCTTTGCAGTTAGAACATTCAAAATCCTTTCTCTAGCTCTTGAAATACACAGTACATTATCATAATTAATACTCATCCTATATACAATGAAAACTTAATGTTTTAAACACTATGATTAAATATCAAAAATATAAAGTTTAATGAATAAAACAAACTTCAAAAACAACATATATATTAGAGTATTTTAAAATTAAAAAAAACCTATGCAAAATTAAACAACTGAATAATTACATTCTCCTTTTCAGTAAGAAAAGCACCAATACTATCAAAAATCAAATGTTAAAATGAAAAAAAAAATTCATTATCTTAAGAACAGTCATTAACATGACCATTACTTGTTAGGTTTATTAGGTAAAAGTAATAAATATGATGAAAGTCAAATTAAACCCTGAATGGGTTCACCCTTATGAAGCTAGCATTAGCAGGGACTTCAGAGCCCTTCCTCCACCCTTATCATGATAACCTGCCCTGTTCCAACCTGTTGCTAAGGTAATTGGTCCCAGGAATTGTCCCTCCCTACAGGGAGTTGTAAAAGTTGTTAATTAATGTGTCCTGGGCTGCTTCATCTGGTCAATCCCCCTGTCCATCTGCTTCTCACCTTTTGGTCATTCCACCTGAGCATCTCCTGGGCCTAGTCACATACACAGAAAGGAGAGAGATAAGGGAAAGAGAGCAGGAGAACAAAGGAAGCCTAAGACATAAAAAA